CCATTTAATCCTCCTCCCCTCCCCTCCCCCTCCTCCATATTCCCTCACAGCTGTGCCGCGGAGACAAAGATCATTACAACGGATCCCACCGAATTGCATGTGGCATCGCATCAAACATTCATGCCGCTAACACATGGATGCACACCGGTGCATGCTTCGCTAGCCATGCACACTTCCTGAGAAGGGATTTAAGTCGGGGAGAGAATCCTGAGGTTTATCAGATACCGTGGCATGTTCCTAATTAAAGCTGAAGTTTTAGTTGATTGCTCTCCCTCCCTGTATATTTTCTTGTTCCGCCTTTTGCGGAATTAGCAAGCTACTTGACGGCAAGACCAATCCTCATGATTCCATTATGAGGTAGTTCGTCGATCGTTGCACCTCCATCAAATGTGATAATGATGATGATAATAGTAATAATAATGGGGTTAACAGTGGATTCCAAAGAGTGGCTCTACTTCCATTGGATTCCAATTGGAATTTAAAAGTTGATTTCTACAGAGGGAGAAAGACGAGGGAACACGGAAAACGTTCGAAGCACAGGAGAGAACCAACAAGCAACCCTACTCACATGATAGAGGAGCGCTCTTACAGCTTCGCCACCCGTGCTATGTTACTGACACTAAATCATCATGCATCAGGAACTTAGACCACAGGTAGCCCAAGCTTGGTTTCTGTGGTGTCCTGTTATGAGGAAATGTATGGAGATTCATCAAAAATTTCAATAAAATCATTGAAACGTGAAATAAAGCCTCGAAATTTCACCCGATCATTGAGAAATAGCACTTCTTTGGCTCTGCGTGGTTATTTTTTGAATTTAGCCCGTTTTAAGATTTTTTCCCCCACTGGTGGGCTAAATTCAAAAAATAACCACGCAGAGCCAAAGAAGTGCTATTTCTCAATGATCGAGTAAAATTTCGGGGCTTTATTTCACGTTTCAATGATTTTATTGAAATTTTTGATGAATCTCCATACATTTCCTTATAATAGGATACCACAGAAACCAAGCTTGGGCTACCTGTGCTTAGACTCAAAAATATTGGTACTGTAGTTGGTTAGCGTAGATCACCACCTAGAAATGGAAAATATCCAGACTGATATTGGAATTTTCGGCTTCAGCCATTTTTTAGCAAATGTCTCTTCCGTTCGTGTCAGCTAAATAGGCTCATAGCCTGCGTGCAGCCTGACTTTCAGCTCTTGTTAAGACGTAATCGGGCTGTAGACAGGCTACTATGCTCCGTGATGACCCTCCTCCTGACCTCATCATTTTTTTGGAACAATGCAGCGCCTTCAGGAATATCCATAAAATACACTGACGCTGACCAATATATATCCAGAGCACGAAAAATTTCACTTTCTTTTATTCATCAATCAAGCTTATCCTGAATAGGCCGCGTTTGTTTATACAGTGCTATTTCTCAATGATCGGGTAAAATTTCGAGGCTTTATTTCACGTTTCAATGATTTTATTAAAATTTTTGAAGAATCCCCATACATTTCCTTATTACATGACACCAAAAAAACCAAGCTTGACCTGTGACCGGATCGGTTTATTTCAATTAGCACCTACGTCATCCTTTGAAGCCTTTTTCCAAAAAATAGGAAATGCATGGGGATAAAAGCTAATGCAATAAATCCTTTCACGGTTTCCGACGCCATATTGTTTGGGGGGCAAAATTACTAAGGAGCGTAGGGGAAAGAGATACGTTTTTCGTTATATTTCCTTTCTGAGGTAAATTTTCGAGACCAAACATTTTCTGTAGATGGAGTGTCTCCTGTTCAATGTTTTGTGACGTTTTTGAGCCGATCGAGTCATTCTTGTCGAGGCAAGATTTTTTTACGGTCAAATTGAATCACGAGTACGAGTATGATCGCAAAACCCAAAGCCTCCGTCTCTCTATGCACCAGTGTTATGCTGGCTCCATCGGCTCAATAACAGCACACAAAATATTAAACAGAGGATTCTCCATCTACAGAAAAAGTTTGGTCTCGAAAATTTACCTCAGAAAGGAAATATAACGAAAAACGTATCTCTTTCCCCTAAGCTCCTTAGTAATTTTGCCCCCCCAATCAATATGGCGTCGGAAACCGTGAAAGGGTTTATTTCGTCATGATTTCACTTGAAAAATATTACATGTAAAACCTCCTTTACGAGACTCGCCCATAAGTAATTTTTTACGTAGTATTATAGCTTTTTCCGTATAATATTACGTCACCACCTTCAAATTAACCAATGGTGAGGTCAAGGACACAAGTAAGTATGACTGTAATACAATGGAATGCGTGACGCGTGACTCAAAATTAATGTCGTGCGCATTTATAGTATTTTATTTTTCTTTTATACTGTAGTTTCAGAATTATAATCATTATTTTTCTTAAATATCATAATTTTTAAATATGATTCTTCTTTTTTCCAAACAAAATCGAAAATAATATCGAAATTTGGAATCAAAATGTTCAGCATTATTTCCATATTTGTGAAATTTATGGCCCTGTGTTTGACCGGCGTTGCGTTGCTTGTAAACACCATGTATTTGGACAGTTGTGTTGCTCGGAAAAACAGAACATAATGCTCATATAATAACCAAATGTTTTTTCCATTGACAAAATAAAGTTTCATATCTTCGAGGCATCGTCATATTGAATATATCTGAACATAAAATAAATCAAAAATTCACTAATACTGAATATGTATGCATCACAATATCTGTTCAAGCCCAACATTAATAGCAATTCCATTGAGTCGAGTAAATGTCTCGTAATAGTGTCTCTCCACTATACTGGGGTCGTACTGTTTCCTACCGTTTTTGTTTTTACAGCTATTCTTTTCACAAGAACAAGGATATTTCCCGTAGTCGACTTGGCATCCAATGCCGTTCAATGAACATTCACAAGTTTCTGCATCACACATCTCCCCGCAAGAACAACCACAGAGGATTCGAGAAAGCCTTATTTCCATGCAATCTTTTTCCTCCTTCTTAAAAATTCTCTTGATTCCAGATTTCTTCAAGAGGATTTTTCTCTTTTTCTGTGGTATAGATACGACTTGTTTGGTGCTGTCTGTAATAAATTCGTCGTTCAAAGAACAGAGGTGTATTGTCTCTTCCCAACAATGATTGTTCGCCATGCCCAGAGTAAAACCACCCGAGGAAGGCACAGACACGAACCCTTGACGACGAGGGAAATAAAATACAGTAGCTTTATCAAACCGAACTGATTTCGTTTTCTGTCGCTTGGGTAGTGATTTTTCAAGCCTTGAATCTTCAGCATCTAGCTTTCGTTTTGACATTTTAAAACAGTGCCATCCATCAAACAGAAATTAATGACTATATGCTGTCACACGTTCATGTTAAATACCCTGTTTAAAAATAAACCACATCACTTCCGTTGTGACGCGGCCTTGGCGGAGGTGTGATTGGACTGAGCAAAAATTGCCCAACTTGACTTACTCGTAATCCCTCGAAATGTCTCCGCTGTCATCCCACAGCTTTATTCTTGATCTTTGCATTTAAAGTGTTGGATAATGTAAGAAGAATAAAATTGGGTCGAATTTTTGGTGGTTTCGATCTGGCGAAAAAACGATTTCTTTTATTTCCGGTGGCTGCCGGAAGTCATCATGGTGTGAGAGTGCTACAGGACTGCTGAATGCTCTGAAAAGATATAACTAGCTAAAAACTAGTGTGAGCTGCGTCGGTGTTTGTAATGAAACAGTAATGATGAAAAGGTAAATCATACACCGTGAAAAGATGAAAAAACGTACTGACGTTTCGGACGCTAGTCCTTCGTCGGAGTAAAAGAATGCTCTGACTGGTTACATATCGGAGTTACATATCGGAGCCTGGAGATACAATATTCAAATAAGGTAACACTTGTAAAACTAAAGTGAATGGTTATAACATGAATATTCATTTTGGTTATACGTAACTAATGTGTCGTTGATTATAAACGGGAAACAAAGACGTAAACTCAAGGTCAAACGCCACAAGATTGACTTTGTACGTGACAAAGCCGCCCATTTCGATGAGTGAACCATGTCTGTCATAGAATAATACGAATAACTAGGAAAAAACTGGAAATTAACCAAAGAGAAGTACTTGAAGATTTAGATCTTAAACTCGTAAAAACAGCGATTGGTTTATGGATATTTTCGTGTTGAGATGATCATTAATATAGTGAGTAGTATGAGTAGAATTAAGCTGTGACGGTGATGTTAGCATTTAGTACTCCAAAAAAAGGAATCGGTTTAAGAAAGCACTCAAGAGCTTCAACGGAAAAGCGAAGAGGATTTTGGCGCGGTTATAGCGGGAAGAGGGGGGATAAAGTCAGTCATCAATCTAGGATGTTAAATAAAACACCCACTTATTGTCTTACAAGGGAACAAGGAGAAGACTTTTGGTCTAGTGTTGGTGGGTGAGGAGAGGGGAGGGGAGATCGTTAGGATTGCTACGATTGTGTTCTTATTTCAAATAACCGCCTGATTACCCATCTTAATTTTTGACGAGGTTCTAGTAGCATGCTTTCCTTTCCCCCTCCCCCACGAACAATTGTTGTTCCAAAACAGCTGAGGATCCAACTGGACGGAAGAAAAATCAACATTGATCGCGGGGAAATCTGGGCCGGAGATGAAAAGGCTAAAAAGGAAAGAGACAATTTAAACCCTTCCGTTTGGTAAAAGTTGTGAAAACATAGACCGTTATTTGTATTTGTCCCATGAAATATGTCCAGTGATTATAGCTATGAAGCGAATAGCTACTAAAAATGCTCACTCACTCAATCTTTCTTTAAAGGTTTTTCCTCCTGTCTGGCTAGTTATAAGTATATGAATAATATTGAGATGTTCAAGGTAATCTAATTGCCCAATTTATAATGATGTCACATCAAAACAGTCTATTGTTTTAACGCTAAGGGTCATGGTCGCCAGAGGAGGACAGAATGACAAAAACACAAAGAAAAAACACAATAAATTGCATTTACAAAACAGAGAAGGGAGGGGTAATAACAAAATGCTATTAATATCGAAGGACAAACCTTGACACATAACATATATGGAAACTGGACAATTTGAAGCCAAACTTTCGAAGAGAAAGAAGATTTTGTCGAAATTGTTCTCGGTGATTCTGTCCCCCATGTAAACAAGCTGTGACGTCATTATGAAATAGGGCAATTTGAGTAAAAATTCTTGAATTGATTGATTGACGTTGATCGACGGCTTTCTAACGAAGCTCAACTCAGACAGATGCACGAATTTAAAGCCCGCAATGAATTCTGGGTCAAAACATGTGACGCTTGCATCATCGCCGAAATCGTTCCATTGATTATGAAGATATATCCATTATTATTATTGGAAGCATGCACGTTGCGTGTGATTCATCTAGCAATCGCCAYCGTCCCACTGATTCAAATTCAAAATTCAAAATGGACGACTATCACATTGCTGAAGAGGTCGGTCTATTTGTACAACGCTACTTGTTCTTTCTGATACGTTCTACAAGGACATAGTCTTGCGGTGTCTTTAGCTTCAGAAACACAGCTGTACAGTAAAGGCATGTCTTGAAGGACGCAGCTCTTGTCAGTGGTGTTAAACGATGGCGCGTAGATTGACTCTTCTTTATTGTATTCCTTACAACTGAATCCTGATCTGAAGATGAACAAATAGAAATACACCAAAATAACATTTTATATATGTCGAAATGATTTTAAAAACCGACTCAACGTACCCACGTAAGCTACGTCGCGTTAGGAAACGCTTAGACGCTTAGGAAAGGGACAGGGGAAACTCATCCTAACTGCTTATAGAATATACATCATGTAGCCTTTCAAACTTCAAAAGTTAAGATTAAAATAGATGGATTTAACTGGATTGTCCGATTTCATATGGTCATCCTAGGACCAGCGGAGGTCAAAAATAAATATTGTCAAAAGACAAAACCCCTCACTAATGATACATTTCGACCCTGTGTGTTGGTATGGTCAAAGTTCGAGCTTGATTCTATTATGACCGACGCCCAATAAAGTGCGGCAAACGATTGTCGCAAATACATCTAGCAACACGCTCCTCTATCTACGAACTTACCTTTTTAACTCTTTAATGTTGTTCAGAAAGTGAAAAAATGCAGGCTCACATAACAGACCTGGGGGAAATGATGAATATCCAATCAAAGTGATTCATTCTTAACAAAGGCAGCAATCCTAAATGCAGTACAGCATGCATGATCTTATCTTCAATAAAAGGATTTCAACTAATCCTTTCTGATCCTGTTCTGCAGGAAAAGAAAAACTGATAAAAAACCAAAATTGTCTTGTAAAATTTGTAACAAACCTTTTTCAAAACAGACGTCTCTGCAAGACTTTCCTAATTGACCAATCAGTACTTTCATTTCTGACTTGGGAGGCCATTGATGGCCTGACGTACAAAAATCCTACAAAACAAACAGTTACGTGGCAGTAGTTAGGAAACGAGCGTTTCTGTTGGGGGTGGGGTTAGACTTTGCAGGGGTTTTGCTGGACTTGGCATCAGGTTTAGCGTCATAGATAAATCTGGATTGAATGTTAGGAGAGGTAGACGGGACTCGTGTATTGAACTTCAAGAGAGCGTCGTCTCTCTTTTTTGTATGTAAAATTTACTATATATATACTTTTTTCCATTAATTCATTTATTTTATTCTTCCTCTCACCCTACTCTCATTCCCCCTCCCTCCCTCGCTCCCTCCCTACCCTTCAGCCACCCTCCCATCCTCCTCCCTCCCTTTTTATTCGTTTTTTTATTGCTCTACTCACAAGATTTTCCAAAAATGCATTCACTCTCTGCAACATCCCTTCGTGTGTAAATTCAAAGGGAAGATGAGGAACTTCCTAGGAGCGAATTCAAAAAGAAACGTCAGCAAATATATATATATATATATCTTTTTATAAATGATGAAACTCCTTTGGGAGTCACAAAGAAAATGGTGTTAATTGACAAATATTCGACAAAGGCGAAGTGATTATCGGTGAATATTTACCGAGCCACGAGTCTTCGAGAGGCGAAGTAAATATCACCATAATCACTGAGCCTGGGGGAAATAATTGTTTTAGTATAATTTTAGACTTGAATATCAGAGAAAAGTAGAAATTCATGATAAACAATGTTTTAGTATAACTTCTGATCTGGAAAACTTTGGAAAATCAGCTCCAGCGATGATTACCGTCTCAGAATTACAGGTCGCTCGACCAATCGCAGCTCGAGAAACTCTATATACAAGTCTAAATTATAGCAATACACCTTTAGTATTTACCTTGGGCGTAAGGTTCTCCATTTCAGACCACGTGTCATTCTCTTGAAAATACGATTCTTTGTTTGAGTTGCATCCAGTCATGTGTCTTCTCATGATCATGCGCAACCGTTAAGCAAAGAAATGATACTCTAGGGAATGACACTTAGAAGAAACCGGAAAACATTGCACCCAAGAGTGTATAACGATCATTAACAAAAGCATTCTAGTAATAGTGAACGGGACGGTGAGTAAGGTAAACACTATACAATATATGCATTGTATTCGTCTAGAACCGACATGAACTTGTTATCGAGAATTCTGTTGGAGGTAAAACATTACTTGTGTTATAATATATAAATTAAGCGGGCTTCCATTGTTTTAGCCAAGGAAGCTCGAACAGTAGCTGTTATTACAGTTAAGCCCCCAATGAGATATTCTTTTGCTTAAGAATCATATAAGTGAGGCTATCAGGTCAACGAAAATGCTTGTTGTCTCATATGCATCTCATTTGCAGCATCCATAATATCTGCTATTTACTATACTTAATTTAGGCAAAGATTAAAATTAGGGAAAAAGTCTACGGGTTACCAATGTATCTTAAGTATGACGCTCCGCTCGCACGCGGGAGCAAAATTACCTCATTAGCCTTGGCTTACCTTAGATGCTAATATTTCTTTAATCGTATTTTCAACTTCTGTATCGTTATTCATATCAATCGTGTAGACGTATGGTTTCCCGATGAAATCTTCAGCGTAAGGATTTTGTGAAGTAATCTATAATTGATTGAAAAATTTGACTTCAGTAAAAACCGCAAAACGCCCGATCTCGCACATTTTCTGCCTCATTAGCCATTCCAAGATTGAGAGGAAAAAACCGGGAACCTTCCTTTGTCCCGGTGATATGCATGCATGTACTCTTAAACTAGCCTGCTTGATACGAGCACCCCTTTAGACGGACCTCTCCCCTCAATGTCCGTATCAATTAATACTCTTACCTTGCGAGCAGTCGGTTTACCACCATAAAACGCATTGTTATCTCGGTTATGAGGTGGATTAATCTAAAGAAAAATAAAAACGGAAGAGTTAGTAAGACAAGGAAAATAGATCTTGATATAATGGCCATGATATTATTAACCAAAATGAAACGGTTCCTTTTACCTTTGGGTTGATGTAGAAGCACCCATTAGCAACAGCATCAAGAGGTGCAGGACCTTCAAACGGAAAACCAAGGCCGACGAAAACCTGCAGTAGCATTAAAAACAGTATGCTATCGTTCAGTAATTCTACTATTTTTCACAACATTATCATGATCACATCAACTTGCAAGTTTTCGGTTATGTTAAGCTCTCATGACAAATGCTTTCACTTCATTTCAGTCACTTGACTTCACTCTTCCCTTCCCTTCCCTTCCCTTTTTTTCCCTTCACTTCCCTTCCCTTCCCTTCCCTTCACTTCACTTCACTTCACTTCACTTCACTTCACTTCACTTCACTTCACTTCACTTCACTTCACTTCACTTCACTTCACTTCACTTCATTTTTTACTCAGCTGATTAATTGTTTACGATAGCTATACGAAAGGCTCGAAAGTTCTGTGCTGCAAACTAACCTTCGATTCTTGAAGTATTCTGACGAGCTCAGTGTTGTTAACGATGCCGTGGTTTATAACATATTCAGGAACCGTACTTCGAATATTTTTGTCCTGTTGGAAAATGATACAATGATAGATTCTATACTGTTCAAAACTGTTCAGTATAATGGATGACTTGCACTAATAGGTCTAGTGACCCTACCAGGCCTCCTCTCCTCAAAACAAGCAGTTGTGTCAAATTGCACTCCATAGAAATAAAAAAACTCCTCTATATTAGTAATGCAGACCACGTATGATTCCCTAGAGTATTATTTCTTTGATTAACTTCAAAAATATTCACCTCTAACGGGATCGTGCAGTGGAGCTCCACATATTTGTTCAGTATGTCTAAATACTTTCTTTTACCCTGTGAAAAAATAAAATATTGAGTTCAAGACAAGTTGAATAGGAGATAGGTGGTTGGTATGAAATGGGTGCGATGTTGCATGCCACGTCGCAGAAGTAGTAGTGATTTTTACTTTCTAACGTCGAATGCAACATCGACCATGGTGACACCTAGCCGCGTTACCGGCGGTCTGGGTTTTTCTTGTGACACCCCAAAACTGACTTTTTCATGCAACGTTGTAGGCGATGCCCCTTCGTGTATTCCGATCTTAACATTGCAGCAGCAGCAATATCGACATCGATCAATCACAAAAGAACGACCAACGAGCGGCACAAAAAAAAAAAGGAAGTGCTGTGGTAATCAAGGAATCTTCCCCACAATGCAATGGCGAAAATTAGCCGATGAGCCGTTTCAGAGTTGTAAAAAAGGCCTTGCATTATAGGGTCGTAACCAGAACTTTTACAGGGAGGGTGCACATCAAATAAAATCGGACCATGATCGGTTTTTAGTAGCCGTTTTTTTATTACCAACTGTCATGTTTTTCGCGTAGTCAGAGTGGTTTTCAAAAACCCGTGAAAGACACCAATTTTAAAGCAAATGGAGATAGATGAGCGGACCTTAAGCTTTTATGGGGGGGTGCACGTGCACCCTGTACTCCCCCCTGGTTACGGCACTGCATTATACTGGGGGCTGATTTAAGGGACGCTTCATCGATTAGTTAACATTTTATGCATCACGAAAGTTAACAAGACAATAAAGTTTCTTAGCAATTTTCTTTTACTTTTCACTTTTCGTCAGCAAGAGAAAACGACCCAACATAAGTAACAAAGCGTCCCCTAAAAGAGCCCAACGATGCAAAGCGTCCTATTACTCGCCCGTCTAGTTAACAACTAATACTGGGCCGCATCAATTGCTGCGATCACAACAAACCAACCAATCAACTAACCCTGTAGTAATTATGGTCCTTTCCATAAATCAATGCTTTTGGCTTCTTCTCAGGTTCAGGTTGGTCGAGTCGTACAGGTCTGGACTTCATTGGCACAGCAAACCCCAAAAACAGATTATCGGGGCTGTGAGCTGATGGTAAAAATATGTTTAGCGAAAAATTAGTAAAAGCGATGATTTTTATTATAATAGCTGTATAAAGCACAGCGGGCAAGTTTCACCCCTCTTTTATAAGATATATAAATATATATATATAGTCTCGAGCAATCAGAAAGCGAGAGTTGTGCCATGCCTTGCATAAAATAAATAGAGATTATGACATGTTAAGAACTTGATATTGTTTTTATTCACGAGTTAACATATGATATCGCGAACAAGTCCGCTTAACCATCAAAGTCAACAAACGCCCGTGCCATGGAAGTATGAAAATACTTTAAAACCGTGACCCCTGATGCATGTGGGATTCGCGGTACACTATTAGAAATGTAGGCACTAAACATATGTAATTGATAAGCAATTATTCAGTAAAATACTATAAAAGGGGGGGGAGGGGTCGGCTTCGAAAGGCTCGGTGCCGACCATCATTGAAAGTTTAAATATTTATTCATTTCCGGTCCGGTATCCTAAAAAATCGTGCGTTCTGATTGGCTGTTTGAGCGGGCGATATCTTGTAAGTATCTGCCCGCGCTCGCGGTCCGGTATCCTTTGCTGCTAAACAACAAAACAAAACGATTACAAAAAAAGTAAATAAAAAAAAATACAAGAAAAAAATAAATAAGTCATTTACCGTCCTATAGTCGGTCCGGATAGGTAAAAACGGTGCCCTCGGTCTTGAAAACGAACCTAACGGCCTCGGTCTCGTATATTCAAGACCTCGGGCACAGTTTTTCCCTATCCGGACCCCCTGCCCGGTAAATAATATATATTTATAATTAATTTAGTTTTGATGACTTTATAATTTATTGAAAAGAAACTTGTCAAGAAGTTGGATATTCCGGAGCATCATACAAAAGAAATGTATGGCTAATACACGTTTCAACCCCGTCATGAGTTTTTGGTATTCTTAGTGAATAGAGAGTTTTAGATTTACGTTCACGGCAAACGTGAAACGTCAGTTGACCATTTAAAAATTATTTTAAATAGCTTTAAAAATATCGTAAAAAAAGTCCAAGTAGTAGAAAAACAAAAGAATATTTGTCTTTGGTGAGAAGGTTTGTAAAAGGTAAAGTAAAATACAGGAAAACTATGACAACGTGGTCACGTTTGCCGTTTGCGGGGAGAAAAAGAGTCAATCTAAAACTCTCTAATGGCGTACAATTTCTCGCAATATAAGTATAAAATAAAGATCCTTACGGAACATCGTCATAAACTGCTTCAACTTAGCATTCAGGTTCCCCCAGGCAGATCTTCGTAATTGTGGTTTGTAAAAGGCATAATTAAATTCCGCCTCTGTTCCAAAGCTGTCCAGCATTAGAAATTTACATCTACAATTTAAAAACGTAGAAAAAAACATATTAAATAAATAAAAGCGCGTTACTTCATGTTCCATTATTTTGTTCATTATCTGGACCCCCTTTGACCCCGTGTTCTATTCACTCAGTATCTGAAACCCCCTTTGACCTCATGTTCCATTCATTCAGT